GAGGATTAGGATGAGGATGAGGAAGAGGAGGAGGAGGAGGAGGAGGAGGAGGAGGAGAAGGAGGAGGAAGAGGAGATTTTCACGGGTGACAGTCTAGTCTACTTGAATTTTCTACGGATGAAACGCGGATAATGTGCGCACGGACCGCCGCTGCACATCTTAGCCGATCGCAACGCATCGCATCGCATCGCAAGGACTGGCAGAAATTCGATTAGATCCTGACAGTCGGTTGTCAGACCGACGTTTAATGAATCATCCTGGCGGCGCGTAATTCGACTCGCGGCGCGATAATGCACAGTCTTCAGGGGGTGCACTTTCTATAAAAATAGGAGCGATCACTGGTGAGAAAAGATCAGACGGAATCTGCGACGATTTAAAACTTTGGCAGTCTGGCGGCTGCATAATGAAAGCGTTAATTACGTGCTTTTCTTGGCGGTTATGAACTTAAAATAGTTTGACTGCGACATGATGAATACCGAAGCCATCATTTTAACGGCAATATTAGACCGAGAGTGAGCGAGCGAGAGGGATGACGGGATGGTGGGATGGTGGGATGGCGAGTTTGAGGAAGGGGGGTTGGTTGGTTGGTTGGTTGGTTGGTTGGTTGGAGGGAAGAGAGGCAGGCGGACGATGAGGGGAGGAGAGTGAGAGAGTAAGCGTGATGGGAGCGCGGGAGGGTGGGGTGGAAATATGACTTTTATGAAATGTAATAAACCTTGGAGCGGAATTGAATTAAATTATTTTCGGTTTTTGCTGACTCACTTTATATACAATAAGTGCTTCTTTCTCTTCCATTCGACTCTTTCGCTATCTCGAGGCAACATCTTGCGTTATTATTTCATATGTAAATGCTATTTTTACTTCATACACTCGTATCCATAAACGAAGATCTATCTATCTTTTCCATAATAATTTCCAATATCATTTAACATTATAAGTCTCATTGGGAGAGGTAAAAAAAATAAAAAAAAATTCGAAAATACCGTGTCATGCGATATTTCAGTCAGACATTTCTGATAAATAAAATTCAATTATGTATTTGAGTATCTTGCGAATGTCGATATTATAAAGCTGTCACTACCTTCCAAATACTTTTCTGATAGCGCGTTCATTCCAAAATTTCATTCAAACGACAAAGCCATCGAAATAAGCTCCGAAATAACGTAAAATATGCCCAAAGTGTTCGCCAATTTTAGTTTCGAAACTAATTGCGTTTCAAACTTAACGTGCCCACGATGCAATTACTGCCCTTTACAAAGTCACAACTATCGAAAGATAAATTTATCATTAATTTAATTATCAGTCTATGAGGCAATTATAACGATAACGCCATCCATATTTAAGCAGAGTCGCACTAATAATTCGCCTCCTCGACAAATTCGCTTCTATCGTTTGAACATTTCAAGTCACAGTTTTATCGGTTAAACGAGCATGTAACGACGTACGTGTCCATACGCCAATAATAAAATGTTCCGTCACAGAGACGTTGAAAGCGTTAATTTGTTAATTGTCAAATTTTGCAGTTGGTCCTGAACTCGATGCACAAGTACCAGCCGCGCATCCACCTGGTGAAGCGTCCGGACGGCGAGAACCGCGAGCCCATCGAAGACTTGGAGCGCGAGCCACACAAGACTTTTGTGTTCCCCGAGGCTATTTTCACCGCTGTCACCGCTTATCAGAATCAGCTCGTAAGTCGATCCTTATATTGTAGCGCCACATGTCATTATCTACTGTCGCACTCTCGTCCCTCTTCCAACTACCGGCCAGACTCATTCCCACCAGTCCCTTTCCCCGTCACAGGCAGCGTCACCGAGCCACGAAGACTAAGCCCACTAGCGAGGATCTTGGTATCACGATTCCGCATCCCTCTCGTAGTTCCATGTTCTCGCTTACTTTAATAGAGCGCGATCGAGTCGTAAAGTTCGCGGTCCTCTACCCTCGGCAACGTCACGACGGCTTTGGCGATTCGATGAGAGTCGCCCGGGGCGTTCGGCTATCAGTCGCTCCCTCGTCCTTATTAATTGGTGCGCGATGAGGAGGCGACGGCTACGGCGTGTTGGCCACGAGCCCGTTAAAAATAATTGTCAAGCCGCGAAACGACACGGGGACAGCGTGGGCAAGTATCGACTGTGTATGTACCTACACGTACCCCCCAATGACTTTCTTTCATAAATTACTCGGCTCTCGCGTCTCGCGTCTCGCGTCTCGCGTCTCGCGTCTCGCGTCTCGCGTCGTTAAACGCGACTTTTTAATCTGCATTTTTATACTATAAATCACGCCTAGATTTACGACGAGCCCTGAAAAATAAACGGGGAAGTGGGAGAGCGAGAGGGAAAAGGGTGAAGAAAAAAAAAAAAAGAGCGCATTCATTTGCACTTGTGTAGACAAGAGTCGCGAACGTTTTGAGCGCTCGGCATTATCATATTTCACGATACACTCGTTCCCGGCCCTCGGAACACGCCTACATGTGTGGTCTCACTCGCTCGGCCCCCGTACACCCTCGCAGCAACGTCACTGCGTTCCCCGGGCGTCGCGGCGTCTTCCTTTTCCGGGATGTCCGCGCGCATTTCCGATGTCGACTGGCCATGCGCGCCCCTGACAATGGACCAGTGCCCGCGGTTTTGTGTCGCGCGTGTCCGTAACTATGACGGTCGCTAATTAGGCAGCCGGGGCATGACCGGGGCCACTACGGCCTCACCACTTGCCGTGTAACGGCGAGGCTCATCGGCCCGATCGCAAGTTTCGTCGTATGCTTAATCCGTGCCTCGTAAACCTGTCTTGCCCGTTAACTATATTACCGCATCGTCTGACTTCTTTGCCCGCTATTTTTAACGGATTATTTTCGTTGTATTAGAGCGGTTAGTCAGCCCTTTACACTCGCCCGTCAACCATCTCAAGCCGCGTTACACCGTACGCTTCATTACGCCTTTAGTGACGTTTTTTAAATTTACCGCTCCCTACCAATCCACACACGCACTCACACCCACGCACGCGTGCGCGCGGTCGATCGTTTGGCTATAGACACATTTTCGTGCTATTTATGCCGAGCGCAAAGATTTTTCTCCGCTATTCGACTCATCGGTTGGTCAGTATTACCTATTAAGCGCCTTATTTGTCGACGATATTAAATTATAATAAGAAACTGTATGGGTATAAAATTGCCTTCCCCTTAAGTATCCGCTTCTCCCATTCGTATCCTTAAGGAATCCATTACGCTTGTATTACATATTACCATACAGGCAATGAAATTTCGATAAGAGACATTTTTACAGAGAGAAATTTAAAAAATTTTTTTTTTTTGACATTATATAAAAGTGGTAATTTCATTATTTCATTATTTTCGATAAATATACAGCAATGCTTAGATGAGATTATTATAACATTCGATGTAAAAGAGCAACAAATAATCTTTAAAATTATATACTATTATAGTATCAATATTATAGAATATAACTATCGACGAAATTGAACTCAAATTATTCCATCATTTTATTTAATATAAATTCGATGAATTTATTAAGTACATAGTGAAGGGAGGGAGCCTCTTACATGCATAATATTTGTAAAAATAAGTATAAATGACGCACAGCAATGCGTAACTTAAGAATCTAAAAGTATAACTTTATCGTATACAATCGATAAAGATATTATTTATTACGTTTATAAGCTTATTAACTGTGCGTCAAGCATCATAGACACATAACTACGATACAACGAATGAAAATGGAATAATGAAATTTGGCAAGAAAACTAAAGATAATAAATAATACAGTGAATACAATCGTATTCGGAGATGAAATTTAAAATGTTAAAGAACCATGTTCCAGCAGCTCACAGATTGCACACATTGCGTTCGTTATTTTAATTTGTATATTGAACATTTTGCAAAACACATCCAAACTATTAATGATCGAACTAACGAGAATTATCCCTACGATCTTGTAAAACATCTCTACGGTCCAAAGCTCCAATTTCGTGTCAGTCGGCTCGTTGAAGACGCTCAAAGACCTAAAGCGACAATGCAACGAACCAAGTCGTAGGAAAGGCTCGAGCATCCGATGACGGTCCACCGGATTACGGGCGCGTATCTTCACGGCCCCACAAAGTCCGGGTGGTCGTCTCGTGCGCGCCCGACGATGATGAGGTGCGAAGGGACGACCTCTGGCGATTATCTCGGTCTTCCCCTCACCACCTGCCAACAGCAGTTGACGTGATCGGGGCGCGGCGCACGTGGCTGGTTTATCGCCCCGGTGAATACGCGGCGGTATCGGGCCCCTTTCGATTCGGTCCCCGCGTCTATAATTATATCGGCGTGGCGAGATTCGACACGAGCATAGCCCAGCCCCGCCATGTCCCAGGCGCCTCTTCTCTTTATCGCGCCAACCCCCCGTTGACCGATCGCGCGCCTCTTCTTCACGCTGCGCAGCTATTTTCGCGCAAACTTGGCCGAGCAGACGATATATTTCCATCCGACTTTAAACGCTCGGCGCACCTCCGTCACCATTCCTAACGCTGGATTCCATTTTTTCTAGTGTTTTTGTCGACCTCCTAAATGATAGGGGTTTATCCCCATCCTCACTCAATACACAGCCACTCGCACACACACTATCGCTCTCTATGCCACTCTCACTGCCCCTTCCACGATAATTCTGCTTATAAAACGAGGCTGGGCTTCGCGTGAAAAAGGCCGAACGTAGCGAATAAATTTAAATATGGGAACCGCATTTAAAGAGATTTATTTACATACAAGACGGCTATAAATAAGCCTTGAAAAGTCTAATCATCAATATTGAAAAAGACTGAAAATGCATTTGTTGAAGGTATTCAACTGCATCGCCACATTCCGGGGCTCCGCTAGTCGGGCAGGACTACCTTAACTTTCCTCCAATATAGC